TTCACAAATAAGATCGGTGCTCCTCACAGGGAACTGCTCGGACGATTAAATCCCATCGATTGTTATAATTTTGAATACACAATGTAAACGGCTCTATATAAGAATAGGCTGACAATTGTATATTCCATAAACTGAAGCTGAATGTTGTTGCTTGGAATCTTAAAAAAAAATGATTTTCTTTAAAATTTTGTATGATTTTTTATTATTATTATAAGTTTCGAAAACTTCTTGTAACATTAAATACGATTTTTTTTATTAATATGTGAATCACCGGTATATTTTTCAGAACTATAACATGGTCAAAAACTTCTTAAGTAATTCTATAATTTTAGTTGTATATTCAAACTACATATATTTGTTACATAATTATATTATCGCTATATTATTATTTATTTATTGGATTTTTAATCGAAGTATTCAATGATGCCGATTAAAAAGGTTAATATTATTATCAGGTAAAAATTGAAATTAAGATCAAAAGGTAAAATAGAGTTTGTTAAGGTGACTAGATAACAACTTACTCTTTCATCCTTTGTCAAACAAACTTCCCCGGTTTTCTCCACTCACAAACACTCGTATCTTCTTCTCCACCATTGAAGCACTCATCCATCAATTCCATGAAACTTTCTTCCATTGAAGCTTCTTTTAATCCACATGGCCTTAGAGCTCTTCTTGTGGATCATAATCCTACCTCCCTCTTAATTCTTTCCAAAATGCTTCAGTTTTACCATTATCAAGGTAATTCGTTACTACTCTATTAATTTATTATTATTATTATTCCGTTTGCATTCTACATTATTAATGCATGCGTGTTCTTGATCATACTCGCAGTTACACAATGTCGACGGCCTAGAGAAGCCTTATCGTTGATTAGAAACGGCCTAAGCAAGTTCGATATTGTGATAAGTAGTGTAGACTTCTCATCGGATATGAACGGAGTACAGTTTCTTGAGATTATTGGTCGCGAAACCAGTTTGCCTGTCGTTAGTAAGTCATTTTTCTAGTTATTATTTTCATTTACAGAAAATAATCACACTTAATTTCGTTCAATTTCTATCCCTCGCAGTTGTATCTGCAGACGACAGAAAGGATACGATTATCGAGTATGTAAAGAAAGGAGCGTGTGCTTACTTACCAAAACCAGTGAGGATGGAGGATATTCAGTTGCTATGGCAACACGTTGCTCGTAAAGAAGTACTCTGGTTTAGACAGATGAAACAGATTGATAGTACTGTGGAAAATGGCGAGACAGATTCCAATAATTGTGGTGAAGAAAAAGAGTTCTGTGGAAGCTCCGATGGTGGTCCGGTTCTGGTGGATCGCCGGAGAAAAGATAGAGATGAAGAGCAGGATAAGGTCGAACGTAAGAAACAGCGGTTGGTTTGGACGGATGAGCTTCATCAACAATTCGTCGATGCTGTGGAACAACTCGGAAACAATAGTATGAACTCTCACGATCTCTCTTTTATTTAGTCCAAACATGTGTTATATTATCTTCATCAACATTTCTTGTAACGTTTCATTGCCAGATGCTGTCCCGAAGAAGGTATTGGAGCTAATGAACGTTCCTGGGCTCACGAGGGAAAACGTTGCGAGCCATCTACAGGTTCAAAACTGCAAAAAGTTTGTTCGAGTTTTACCAACAGTTTAGCAAGCATTAACATTTTCGTATCTTAATTAATGTTTCAGAAATATAGGTTAAATCTCAAAAAGCAAAGTGGGTATGTGCAAGAAAGTATCCCGGTGCCAAATTCTGTGTCAGGCGTTCCAGTGATCAGACACAACGAGTTGTTTCAAACAACTCAATCGACCACTGAACTACAATCCCCACTTGTGTTGGATCATCAGTACTATATGGATCTTGGAAGCAACTCGATTCTTATACCGAACGATAGGTTTCATGAGCCTAATCATTGTTAAATTGTAAGTATGCAGACGTGCCATGCATGATTGTAATTAAGAGGTTAGATAACTGTTTTTCTATGTTGGCCATTGTTTATGAAGTCATAGCATCGTACAACTGTTAAGATTTATGGAGTTTTGAACAAATTGACAAGTTCCTAAAAGTTCAAGGGCCATAAATGAAACTTTGAAATATTAAACAATTGAATATGAAATGGACGATCCAATTATGGAGCACACCTTTTGAATTCATTTGTTGGACTGTCAAAGTTTTGGACGGCAAATAATTGGACGGTGGAAAAAATTGTCAAACACATGCATGAGAATTATTTTTTCAAACTATGCGGCAATCTTGTGCATATTGCGGCTCACAAATATACCTATATATATGCATGTATGTTTTGAATATTTTGTGTGCAAAAACTTGAGAGAACATCAAGTGTAGAGTGTCAAGCCAATTGTAATCTTGTGAGTTTTAATAAAATTCTCTAGTTGCAGCCCGTGGACGTAGGATTTACACCGAATCCGAACCACGTAAAATCCTTGTGTTCTTTATTGCTTTATTTTCTCGTTTCGTTTGTGAGTGTGTGATAGTGTTTCCGCTGCGTGTACCCTGTCTCAATTCCTAACAATTGGTATCAGAGCCTGGTTAGCGAGGTTTTGGAGGGTACGATCGTTTTTTCTGTCACATACGAGTGTACCTAATTTTTTTTTGTTTGCCGTAATGGCTGAAGACAAGGTTATAATCGAAAGGTTCAATGGTTCTGATTTTAGCTGGTGGAAAATGCAATTAGAAGCATTGCTATGTAAGAAAGACTTGGACGTGGTACTCGGAGACAAACCGGAGAAAATGGAAAAAGCTGCTGAAGATGCGTGGAACTCAAAGGACAAGAAAGCCAAGGCGGTTATTACATTGTCGTTGACGAAGAGCGTTGCTTTCAACATCATGAATGAAACCACGGCGCGTGGTATGATGGAGGCTCTGTCAAATATGTATGAGAAACCATCGGCGGCTAACAAGGTGTTCTTGATGAAGGAGCTGTTCACTACAAGGATGAATGAGGAAGGCTTAGTTACGGTTCACATTAACAAGCTAAATTCAATTCTGTCCAGATTATCATCTGTGGGAATTAAATTTGATAATGAGACTCAAGCTTCGCTGCTACTAGCTTCTCTACCTGATAGCTGGTCCGGAACAGTTACTGCTGTTACAAGTTCCGTGGGGACCAGTGGTATGACTTTTGAAGGGGTTAGAGATTTGGTTCTAGGCGAGGATATCAGACGCAAGAATCAAGGTGGATCTTCCTCTTCTGATTTATTAAATGTCGGAAGAGGTAGAGGGAATAGCAGGAATAGTGGGAGCAGTGGGAGTCGGGGAAAAAGTTCTTCTAGAACTTTGAAGAATGTGAAATGTTGGAACTGTCAAGAAGTGGGACATGTTAAGAGTCAATGTCCAAAGAAAGAATTGAACATTGCTGATGCTGAGAATTTTTCTAGGGATGATGCATTGTTACTCAGTATGGAAAGTTCTGTGGACTCTTGGGTCATGGATTCAGGGGCTTCGTTTCACGCCATGGACAACGGGGAAACGATGGTGAATCTAAAAGAAGGAGATTTTGGGAAGGTACGATTGGCAAATGACGAGATGCTTCAAGTAACGGGCATGGGAGATATTGATCTAGTTACTTCATTAGAAACTACATGGAGCCTGAAGAATGTCAGGGTTATTCCGGAGCTGAAGAAAAAATTGATTTCTGTTGGTCAGCTGGATAAACAAGGACTGGAAGTAAGGTTTCGTGGTGGTAAATGGATGGTGGTCAATGGTAATTCGGTGATTGCTCAAGGTTTGAAGCGTGGGTCATTGTATATGGTTGAGGTACCTGCTGAGGGAAGTATGACCATCCCGATTAAGCAAAACAAAATCTGGTTCGCTAAATCTACTGCTAAGAGAGTTCATTTTGCAAACATGAATTCTGGAGCCAAGGGGATGTTAGCTGAACGAGTCGGAAATTCTAAACCATTCAGGGGATTCTGTGACAGTGGGAGCACGGGGTGTGTCCCGGGTACAGTTACAAAGAGCCGTTGGGTTTTGAAGACTAAGACTGGAAAATTCTCTCTTGTTGGAAGTTTGCAAAGTTTGGAGAGTGTTAGTGGTCCTTGGTGTATCTCTGGATCTGGTGGAGTGTCCAAACCGGTTGAGACAGAGGATGAGTCGGTGGTGGGATTAGCCACGACTGAGTTGGAGCTAGTGGGAGCTTCAACTGGCCCTTCTAGTACTTGAAGATGAGGGGCGGCTGCAATTAGAGAAATCAGACTAAGTTTTAGCTTGTTCTTTGAAACTGGAAGCTTGAAGGACTTGGTTGTTTTTTAAGATTACTGGAGTAATTGAGAGTTGAATGGCGGAGAAAGACTAATTTGTTCAAGTCTCCAAGTGGGAGATTGTTAAGATTTATGGAGTCTTGAACAAATTGACAAGTTCCTAAAACTTCAAGGGCCATAAATGAAACTTGGAAATATTAAACAATTGAATATGAAATGGACAATGCAATTATGGAGCACACCTTTTGAATTCATTTGTTGGACTGTCAAAGTTTTGGACGGCAAATAATTGGACGGTGGAAAAAATTGTCAAACACATGCATGAGAATTATTTTTTCAAACTATGCGGCAATCTTGTGCATATTGCGGCTCACAAATATACCTATATATATGCATGTATGTTTTGCATATTTTGTGTGCAAAAACTTGAGAGAACATCAAGTGTAGAGTGTCAAGCCAATTGTAATCTTGTGAGTTTTAATAAAATTCTATAGTTGCAGCCCGTGGACGTAGGATTTACACCGAATCCGAACCACGTAAAATCCTTGTGTTCTTTATTGTTTTATTTTCTCGTTTCATTTGTGAGTGTGTGATAGTGTTTCCGCTGCGTGTACCCTGTCTCAATTCCTAACAACAACAATCTTCTGTAATCTAATGCACATGATGAGATTTAAAATGTTTAAGTGTAGATTACATAACAGAAGCATTTATCATCGGACTTACAAAAAGAATATTGAAAAACCATCGGAAAAATAATAATGTGTACGTTAGAGCAAACTTTATAGAAAGACCAACAAAACCAGCATAATTAGAACCGAATCAAGGGTGACCATCATCCGCGAACCATGGCTAGAGATGGGAAGAATATCAGGAACCGAGCATTCTTCACCATTGAAATAGACTTTGTCCGGGAACCCATCACCACGTGCCACATTGAGCCCGGGTATGTTCTTCTTTGTGAAAGAAATGACCGATTGTTGTGAACCCGGAACACGTGGGTCCTTCTCTGGTTTACGCCCATCTTTCTCTGCCACAATATAGTTTAGACCCGGTAGACCTTGTAGGAAAATCATGTCACTCGAACCCGTGATCCGGCTACCATTGAACGAGTACACTTCCTCAAATCCTGCCATTGATTTGTTCAACTCCACAGCCGCAAACCAATCGGCAAAACTCGTTTCGCCCCAGTTGAAAATGGTCATTCTTGCGGTCCATCCTTCTTTGAAATCTGATAGTAGGTGCCAGTTGATGCTGACACCACAGTTATCTGCACATGGCAATTGATTCGGCAAAGTCCAATCATTGTCCTTTGCAAAATCAACTGTCAGTTTAGTTCGGTTCTCAAACGGCACCAAAAGTGCGTTTGAAGGAACTAGAAGTGCGGGTGCAGTTGTACTGCATGAATCTGCAGTGTTACACCCGCACGCACAAGTTTTGCAAGGAACTACAGACTTATTGAAAAATGACGAAAAGGAGACACAACATTTCGGGGTATCCGATTTGGCCCGTGTTATGTTGCAAACAACTTGCCAACTAGCAACAGCAGTGGATTCAGAAATAAGCCCAAATGGGTTCGGGAACAAGGTAGGGCTAACCCGTATGGGTTGCCCACATTGGTAGTTAGGGTTCATTGTATCGCTGATTCTCCAATTTTGAGGTGGAGTGAGCTGAGTCCGGTTTATGTCCGGTGGCATCTTGAAAACTTGTATGGTAAAAGCCGAAACCGACTTGCTTGAATCCATCGAAGGGGGTAAGAGGGTCCCATTACGACAACAAAATGGAACCAAGCCTAGCTGTGTGTCGTTTGTTTTGTTAAGCGGAAGGTCTACAATTGTTGGTCTTCGTTCACAATTTAATGCTTCTGAGAAGTCGAGTTCTTTATAGAACTCTCCTTGTCGGCCAAATATACAAGGGTTTGTATCAATAACAGAAGGATACGCCCCTTTCATCGAGTAGATGAATTCATCTCGCATCCAATCCCAACTCAACTGCCAATAGTCAAGGCGGCTGAGGGGATTGTGATTCGAGAGGGTCACTTGTGCCATGTATTCAGTTTCTTTTGAACTGGTTACATCGTACATTATGACGACATCGCCCTCTTGTCGTGTGTCGAATGTCTCTTCTACATTTGTGCCAGGTGTTGTAGGTATTGCATTTGGGTCCTTTTCACAGCATACGTGTGTCTCGTTGTTTGCTGAAAAAAAAAGTTACTTATTTAGACATGTTATGTCACTCACTTATTGATCAATTTGCCTCTTACTATTTATAACTCTTCTTGGGTAAAGTCGCAAATGTACGTTACATTTAAATTGCATAGGAAAAGAGAGGGTTATACTTATAACCTGGAGTAGAAGGTGCAGAACACAAGAACCCATCATTCACGAGATACAAATTCGACGGCAAGGAAACATTTGGTGGCGCAACACCAAATTGGGTGCCGACCAATTGTATGCGAGCCTGCATTTGATTCCAGTCACCGGCGGTCTCAACGGCGGTCTTGAGGTCAGTGGCGGGAAACCCAGCGAAGACAGCACCGGTGGTGACGTTAGCAGGGAGAGAGGTGCCATCAGCAAGAACAGCGTTGGAAGATGAGACTAAGAACTCACGGTGTTGGAACCCTACAAACACCCGCCATGATTTGAGTCGATCAACGCCGGCGTTGGTGAGAGTGAGAGTAGACTGGAAGGTGTAGGGCTGGTTGGTTGTGTTGGTGGCCGTCGGTGGGATTTGGAAGCCGGAGTTGTAGACGTAGGATATAGAAATTCCATTGCAGGTGGGAGATTGGGAAGTGGTTGTGGGGATCGAAACGAAGGCCAAAAGGAGGAAGATGATGAAACCGATGCTCATTTTGAAATTAAACAAGATAAAATAGAAAACAGATGCAGTAAGAGAGATGGGTATATATGTGTATAGGGAAAAGTTTGACTGGTTCAGAGCTTTGTACATGAAAGATGTTTAATTGTTTCAATGCCGGCTATGAGAGGAGAATCAGCCGAGAAGCCAACGGCCGGCCTATTTATGAATAAAATGGATGACACAAACATAAGTAACAGCCAAAAAACATATATAATCATATAAGTGAGGTTGTTTGACCGATTGACGTTTTTTTTTTGTTATATGCATATTAGACCCTCTCATCGACAATATATTACAAATTAAACATATTTTAATACTTCTCAGTAATAATAAAAAACATTATTGCAAATTAACTAATTTACCAACAGTGTCTCAACTTATAGATATATAAAATGCCGCAAACTAGAGAAACTGAAATATATATAAACAAAGGTTTTTTTTTTTAAAACCAAAAGATGTGAGAAAACTTGAAAATTTTTAACCCGCTCATTATTTTTCAAAACCAAAATCATCAATATTAACGAAATGTAGCGTTTAAGTCATATTTATACACAAAAAAAATTGGGCGATTTTTTTAAAAAAATGTTCTCAAGTGCGAATTTGAAATTCGTAAGTTTTCATAAATCTTTAGGTTCATGTGTATATATATATATATATATATATATATATATATATATATATATATATATATATATATATAGAGAGAGAGAGAGAGAGAGAGAGAGAGAGAGAGAGAGAGAGAGAGAGAGAGAGAGAGAGAGAGAGAGAGAGAGAGAGAGAGAGATGAGATGAAATCGAGAGAGAGAGAGAGAGAGAGAAAAGTTCAAATGAGAATAATTATGAAATCGAGAACGCGAAAACACTTGTAAACCACATATTTTACCCACTTATTTTAAAAAAAAAATAAAAAATCCAAACAATATTAAATATTAATTAATTACACTAAAAAAGAAGAAAGTAATTGTGGTTACCATCACCACCTCCACGCAACACCACCCTTCCCACCCACTACTACACACCACCACCCACCACCATCTACCACCCACCACTACTACCACCCAACACCCACCACCATCACCATCACCATCACCATCACCACCACCACCACCACCCACCAAACACCCCACCACCTACCACCCACTAACCACTCCAACTACCCACCAACCACATACCACCGTCCCCACCATCCACAAACAAAAACCACCATTCCACCAACAGCTACCCAACACCCACACTGCACACCACCAACCACCTACCATCACCATTACCCTTCCCACCACTCATCACCACCACCCAACAACCACCATAACCACCACCACACACCAACACCACCCACTAATCACCATCCCTACCATCGCTACCCACCCACTACCCACCACCACCTCCACCTACTACCTACCATTCACTCACCGTTGCCACCACTCACAACCTACCAACCACCCCTACTATGTAACACCCGATTTTTCAGGTAAATTCCTTATTCATTAAGTGTTTATTTATGTTGCATAGAGACCAAGTACGTTGGACGTATGTGAGGTACGTTGGGCGTACCTCGAAGAGCCTTGGACATGGGGTTAGCCCCCCAGGTACGCTAGGCGTACCAATGGTACGTTGGGCGTACGTCAGTCATGGGCAAACCCTAATTTTTAGGGTTTGCACCCTATTTAAACACCTTATGCCCCAAGGCTCTTTCCTTACCAGCCTCCATTGCCTCTTTAGAGCACTATCTCGAAACCCTAACCCATTTCTCAAGAGGTTTACCCTTGTGTGTGTTTTGGTGTGTGTGTGGTGCGTATTGAAGAAAAAGAAGCCTTGTAGAGGAGCATTGAACAAGTTGGAGCTTGTAGATCCAGGGTTTATTCACTCTTTTCATCTTATTGGAGGTATAAAATTAGGAACTTGCTTACCCTATGTCTAGATCTAGTATTGTTTGATATTTTAGCTTACTTTGGTCCCATGAATGAATTCTTGTGAGTAAATGTTACTCTAGAAGTTATGAGATGTTTCTTTTGATGTTTCTGAGGTCCTTATTCCATAAAGTTTGCATCTTGATGGTTGTAGATCAACCATGCATGAGTTAGTGATCATTTGATGGAAGTAGAATGCTAAATCTGGGGTTTCAGTCTCCTTGAGCCATGCAAAGGTATCAAGTTGGTAACTTTATTGTTTAAGACGTCCCTCAAGAGCTAGATCTGAAAGATGGACGTTGGACTTGAAGCATTAAGTGCTTAATGAAGTCTTGGATGGATGGGGCGTACGCCATGCATACATAAGCGTTGAGCGTACACGGCTGAAGCCTTGATCTTCCTTGCTACGAAGCAGTACACCGGTGGTACGTATGTGGTACGCTGAGTATACTCACTAGGGTCCATTTTGGAGGTTTTGGGCCTTAGGTATTGGGCCATTATTAGGCCTTAGGCTTTAGACTATTGTTAGGCCTTTGGACCTTTGGACTTGGGCCATGGATCGAGGGGCCCATTAGAAGAAGGGATAAAATGGTCTTTTACCCCTTGACATGTAAGAGGGTAATTTGAACCACTCATGGGTTAGTACCTTGAGTATTGATTACGGTTAATTGGAATGTTCAGTATGAGGAGCCATAGTAGCTGTAACATCCCAAAAATCGAGACCGAAAATTTTTGTTTTTTAATTATAATACTTAGGAAATTGTTTGAGGAAAACATTACTGATATCATGTCAAACCACAAAACCATAATTACATGTCTCAAAAACCATAATGTCAGAGTACAATCCCAGGGTTCTCAAATGCGGAATCATGTGTGTGCGATGCGCTGCTACCCTGTCGGCTCCTTCCCCTTAGATGAATAGGTACCTGAAACCAAAACTGAAAACTGTAAGCACAAAGCTTAGTGAGTTCCCCCATCATACCACATACCATACAACATACATTCTGCCGGGCAATTCTGGGGTGCCCGACCTACCCATGTCAAGCCATTCTGGGGTGCTGACCTACCCGCGTCAGGCCATTCTGGGGTGCCTGCCTACCCTCCGGTCTATCTCACCCGGTCACGGGGACTATTTCACCCCCTACTACTATCACATAATAACATATCATAATCATGCTGTCAGGCATATCTGGGGTGTCCGACCTACCCTTCGGGCCTAACGACCGAATCGGGGGACTATTCCCCTCCTACTACCACTATCACATAGAACATATCATACTAGCACATAGAACACATCAAGTAATAGCAAACCAGACAATTATCACAAAGACAATCATCTCAACTGTAATCAACTACTAGTGGGTCGGCCTTGGTGCCTTAGACCCACTTCTACTGGTAGGTAACTCACCCCAATGTCGTGTAGTGTCGGCACTGTCCTCGGTATGGAAATCAAATCTTCTCGACTCCTCGACCCCTACACAACATCCTTTATAAGTTTCCATTTCATACTCATAACCCCTACAAGGGTCAACTCAAGTCCAAGTCAAAGTCAAGGTTAAAACCTTGGTCAAAGTCAACTTTGGTCAAAGTCAACATCTGGTTGACTGGACTTGGCGAGTTGGTCCACCAACTCGCCGAGTTCCCATGTCCACCAAAATGCTATCATCCCGTCCCTACTCGTCGAGTCTAGCAAGAGCTCGACGAGTTCGCCTTCAATAACATATTCGACTATCTTCAACCGACTCGCCGAGTTCATCCTTGAATTCATCGATTTCATCTTCATCCATATGAAGGTGTTCACTCTATGACTCACCGAGTTCATCCTTGAACTCGTCGAGTCCGTCTTCATGTGGTTGGGACATTGCCTTGAACTCGCCGAGTTTCTTAGTGAACTCATCGAGTCCTTTGATCTTCAAGTCCATCACAGACCCCTAAAAGGCTAAGTGTTCCTTCCACTCAACGAAAGGCCATTTCCAGAAATCATTTGGGGGAAAACGCGACCCAACTCGCCGAGTCACCCAAGCGACTCGTCGGGTCCCTCTTTCTCCAAAACTATTCAGCCGATTGTAATGGGTCTTAATGCATCAAGACCATAGATCTGACCTCCTAGGGTCCATTTTATACGTAAAGTTCCAATCTTGACGTCCATGCATGGGGTTTTTTTGCTCAAAATCCATAAAAAGAGGTATATAAGAAGCATGGGTCTCCCATGGCCATAAAGTTGGCACCTTTATTCCATGGGAACCCTCAATGATTCCAGATCTGAAATGTAACTCCAAACACACTCATAAAATCTGACTATAACTTCACAACTCATAAAAAAGGGGTAGAAAATAGCCCCAAAACAAGATCTAAGAGATAGATGGTCAAAGTTCAAGCTTTTTACCTTGAATGAACTAAGAATGAAGCAAAACCTCTGGATCCACAAGCCTCCACTTGAACTCCCAAGCTTCCTCCTTCTCTTCCAACTTCAAATGCACACAAAAGTCACCAAAAAGCTCAAAAACACTCAAAATAGGCTTAGGGTTCGAGTTAGGGATTTCTCTGGGTTGGGAGGAACAATGGAGGCTGTGTTGGGGCGTTATAAGTTGTTTAAAAAGGGTGAAAACCCCAAATATTAGGGTTTCATCCAGACAGCTTCTACTCGTCGAGTCAGTCTCCCGACTCGTCGAGTAGGTCATTAAACTTCCCGGTAAATATCGAGTCTACTCGACGAGTTGGCCCTCCAACTCGCCGAGTCCCATAGTAAAACATAGACTTACTTGAATTTAAATACGTACCAGGAACCAGGCGTTACAAATCTCCCCCGCTTATTTTAGACTTCGCCCTCGAAGTCTGCTGCCGAATCCGAAAAAAAGCTCGGGGTAGTGCTCCCTCATCTCGTCCTCCGGCTCCCAGGTCAATTCCGAGCCCTTGCGGTGCTGCCATTGCACCTTCGCCAGCTCCACCCTCTTATTCCTCAGATCCCTCGACTTCCTGTCGAGGATAGCTACTGGCCGCTCAATATAGTTCAGGCTGTCATCCACCTGAATATCCTCCAAAGGCACCACTGCCGAGTCGTCCACCAGTCACTTCTGCAACTGG